AGCATCACAATAGCCTTCAATTCTCAGATGTCCAAAACTCCTGAACCATAACCCCTTTCCTGGGCTTCCTTTAATATATCTAAGAATTCTGCGAACTGCCTTCATATGCTGCTCTCTGGGATCATGCATATATCTACTCACCACACTCACTGCATGAGTAATATCAGGTCTCGTATGGCATAGATATATAAGTCATCCAACCAATCTTTGATATTGCTCTTTACTCACAGGGTCCCCACCCTCGGCACTCATCTTATTATTCTGCTCAATAAGAGTAGATGCAACTCTGCACCCCAACATCCCTGTCTCTGAGAGAAGATCCAGAGCATACTTCCGCTGAGAAAGCACTATACCCTTTCGCGACCTTGCAATTTCAATTCTGAGAAAGTACTTCAACTGCCCCAGATCTTTAACTTCAAATTCCTCTCCCAATTTCTTCTTTAACAATAGGATTTCCTCAGCGTCATCTCCAGTGATTATAATATCATCAACATAGACTGTCAGGATAGTGATACGAGTTTTGTAGTGCCTGTAAAACACAGTATGATCATCATTGCACTGCTTGTACCCCATACCACAAACTACCAACCTGAATCTATCAAACCATGCCCTCGGAGACTGTTTTAACCCATACAAAGACTTCTTCAACTTGCGGAGACTGTTTTAACCCATACAAAGACTTCTTCAACTTGCACACCTTCCCAGCTACTTGAGAAGTAGTGAAGCCTGGTGGAATCTCCATATATACCTCCTCTTAAAGATCTCCATGCAAAAATGCATTCTTGACATCTAGCTGATGTAGTGGCCAATTAAAGTTGGCAGCACATGACACTAACACTCTAACAGTACTCATCTTTGCTACTGGAGCAAATGTCTCGTCATAGTCAATGCCGTATGTTTGGCTGTAGCCTTTAGCAACCAATCTGGCCTTGTATCTGTCAATCTTGCCCTCTGGAGTTTGCTTAACCGTATACACCCACTTACGCAACCAATCTGGCCTTGTATCTGTCAATCTTGCCCTCTGGAGTTTGCTTAACCGTATACACCCACTTAAATCCAACAGCACGCTTCCCAGCTGGCAAAGGTACCAACTCCCATGTGTCATTCTTCTTCAAGGCCTAGAGTTCCTCGTGCATGGCATTCAACCACCTAGGATCTTGCTTAGCTACCTGCCAGTTGTTAGGTACAGGCACTGAATGCAACGATGCAATGAATGACTTATATGCAGGTGGAATGGATGCATATGAAATGTAATTCGCAATATCAGTATCCCAATTACCAAACTTAGCTGGAGGTTTTCCAGCATTGACTCTAGAGGTTCTGCGGGGCAAGACAGGAGTATCAGAGGTATCAGGGAAGGAATCGTTACCTATCGACTCAGGTGGAGGAGAAGAGCAAGGCACTGGAGAGGAGGGACTTGGGTCATCAACATTTGTGGGTACTGACACAGGCACGGGAGGTGGCTCATGCTGCTGTTTCTGTCTCCTCGTGTATACTCTCAGCTCCCCCTGACTTTGACTACCAACTCCTAAGTCACCACCACTACTCGGCGATGTACCATCACTACTCGGTGACTCAAGAGGACATGGAATCATCCCAACCACAATTCTCATTCTCCCCCTCTCTACTAGCATCAGTAGAGCCATCTCCAAACAAGGAACTCAACTCCGTCTTCTCCCCATAAAAAGGTTCAAACTCCTGAAAAGTCACATCCATACTGACAAACAGCCTTCTTTCAGTGGGACACCAACACTTGTATCCTTTTTGACTTGATGAGTAGCCAACAAAGATACATTTAACTGCTTGCGGATCCAGTTTACTCACCATCAACCTGTGATCTCTCACATAACATGTGCATCCAAACACTCTTAGTGAACAACAAAAACATTCGAGCCCAAAAGCATCTCACATGGTGTCTTCATCCCTAATACTCTTGATGGCATCCTGTTGATCAAATAAGCTGCTGTCATAACAGCCTCACTCCATAAAAACTTAGGCACATTCATTGTCAACATCAATGAGCGTGCCACTTCCAGTAGATGCCTGTTCTTACGCTCAGCCACCCCATTCTGAGCAGGGGTGTCTGGGCAGGTGGTTTGATGAACAATTCCCTGATTAGAGATGAAAGCTGCAAACTCCTTATTGACATACTCAGTCCCATTATCTGTTCGAAGAATCTTCACCTGCACTCCAAACTGTGTCTTCACATAAGCCGAGAAATCTTGAAAACATTTGTAAACCTCTGATTTCTGCTTCATCATGTATATCCAGGTCATACGTGAATAACAATCAATGAAAGTAACAAACCATCTAAAACCACTGATAGAGGTAGTAGGACATGGTCCCCAAACATCAGAATGGACAAGTGCAAATGGTTCATAACTTCGAAGACCAATCATTCTATAAGTAGAACGAGTATGTTTTCCAAGTTCACATGCATTACAAAATAACTCTTTTCTATCCACTTTCTTCATTAACTCAGGTTCTAATCTATTTAAACTCTCAAAGGATAAATGCCCTAACCGGCAATGTTGAAGCATTGCTTCTGTCTCTGGCCCTCCGCTAACAGCAGCAGCAATCATTGTTGTCTCCCTGTCCAAATACCAAAGACCATCACGTCTGATACCAGTCCCAATCCTCCTCCCCGTTTCCTTCTCTTGAAAGACACACAAATCTCGATCAAATAACACGGTGCAATTTAATTGATCAATGAGAGAGCTAACTGAGAGTAAGTTAACTGGAAACGAAGGAACATGCAATACTGATGACAAGATAACAGATGAAGTGCAATGGACCGAGCCAGTACCCCTGATGGGTTGGGATGTCCCATCAGCAGTCTGAACTGTCTCAGGATGCATATGCTTACTCGGATAATATAATGCAAACTCACTAGATGTTCCTGTGACATGCCTAGATGCACCTGAGTCTATGATCCAATCAACATGAGTTTTAGTGGATGCAAGTGTCTGAACCTGTGTACCTTTGTTCGCATGAGCATAACCGATAAAGTTACCAAAGCATGTAGTGGTAGCCAGATCCTGGGTGACTTGTCCCTTGCCCTTCGAACTCTCAGTCTGAAGCTTGAACAGACGTAGTTCCTCCAGCTCTGTTATTTCAGCTCCAGTCATCCCAGCAGTAGTCTGAGACTCATCTGCCACAGCTAGGTGAGCAACTCCTTGGCCTACACGCCCCCTACCTCCTCGACCTGCACAGCCACCAGTCTGACTACGTTCACCCCAGTTCCTTTCCATGAGTGGCTTAGGGCACATCTGTCTCAGATGCCCTACCTCTCCGCAGTTGAAGCCCTGCCTAGTCTCCCCTTTGAATCCAGTGTTATCCGGGTTGGATACCACCAGTGCAGACTTCTCCCCTGTAAGTTCACCTATCCCAGACTGTAGCCTGATACGGCTCTCCTCCTGTATCATGGCCGAGACTGCCTTCTTCAGTGGTGGGATCTTCGTCTGGGCTAGTAACAATGACGTCCTCTGCTCATACGCTGGAGCCAAACCTCGGAGAAATAACATGGTCCTCTTCTGCAAAGAGGCATCGCGCTCCTTGCACTCCGGGTCCTTGCAGCTCGCTAGGGGCGAGAAGTAATCGTGATCGAGCCACAAGCGCTTCAGCTCTGTGGCGTACTCCTGTACAGTCCTCTCTCCCTGGACTATAGCGCTGATCTCCTTCTCGATCTGGAATACCCTCAGGTTATTCAACTTCTTGATGATCTCCTCCATCGGATTTTTTCCAGTCTTTGTCATCGATCCAACTTGTATTCTTGTGGTGCGCAACCAAAAAAATCCGGCAGCACTTCGACAGCACAACAAGAGAGATAGATCAATAATAATTCTTGTTTCACCAAGGAAACAAGAACCAAAAGCAAGATATCTCAACAAAGTGAGATATCAGCTCTTCTCTCATCAGTTCTAGGACTGACTTGTCGAGGGAACCTAAATAAGCTATTACAAATTAAGAACCAAATAGATCTTTTAATCAAACTCCCCTCCGAAAGCCAATCTCCACGAAATGTCCGTCCGAAAACCCTTGAAATTTCTTGAGAGAGATTAATGGCGGAGTACAGCGAGCTGAGAGAGGCGATCTTCAACGTGAAGGCGATCGACGCTCACGCTCACAATCTCGTCGATCTCGACTCCTCCTTCCCCTTCCTTCGCCTCTTCTCCGAGACCGAGGGCGACGCCTTGGCCTTCGCGCCTCACTCTCTCTCCTTCGAGGTCTCTCTCTTCCTCTCTCCTCCTCTGTCTCTCTCAAACCCTAGAACTAGGGTTTTCTCCGCCGCTTCTACTCGATCTCAAACCCAAGGGCTTCGGGTTCATCAGCCCTAACGACGACAGCGACTGCTACAGAACTGGTGGACTCGACGGCATCAGAGAGGACTCGATGGCTTCAGATCGTCGTCGTCGTTGACTGCCAACCCCGATCGTCCCTCACTTCCTCTCTCTTCAAGTCCGATCGTCGTCGTCGTCGTTAGGTGGGAGCGTCGTCGTTGTCAGGTGAGAGCGTTGTCGTCGTCAGGTGAGTTGATTTCGATCAAGCCGATGGCTTCAAGAGGGTGTAGAGGAGCCGCAACCTGGCTCTGATACCATGTTGTGATTTGGGAAAATATTAGGAATGCATTCTTACAACTAGGTCCTTACAACATTGACTAATTCACTTAGTATCTAAATAACTCAACAAAATACCTTGTTGGCAAATGGGGTTGAATTAAAATACCAATATGGGTATTTAGCCTATTTAAAATTTAAAAGAAAACATGCTGCATTTGATACCGGCATTTGAAACTTTTAAGAAAAGCTTACTTCATCATCTCCAACTGTAGTGTGATTATGAAAATTCAGAATATTATAGTTACGTATGACACTCCAACCTTTTCTCTTATGTTCTGTAACCAAAATTCATAATACACTTCCAAAGTAAATAAATAAATAAATAAAGAATATGTACTCTTTTATATATAAAAGTACTCTAGACTTTCTTTAGTCACTTACCTCTTCATAGACTTTCAATACTCGAACACCCATGGCTTTCAAGCGTGACATCAGTTTTTTCTTAAGAAGATCAAAGGGCATAGCATGCCTTGAAGCCAAGCAAGTTTCCTGCCAACAAATTGTTATTCAGTATGCTGGGGAAGACGTAGAACATTTGTCCAAAACTTAAGTCGGAATAACATCTAACCTCAAAAAATACTCTTGTAGATGACATGGGCATCACATAAAGAAATGTAGGATATTTTTCTTCGGGGCATAGTTCTTTTTCTTTCACAAAATCTCTGTAGTCCATGAAAACCATTAAGCTGGGATCATATGGATTGTTTTCCACCTGAACATTAAAAATCATACTGAAAGCACTTACAACTAAGAAACATGCAACCATATGAGCAATTTTCTAGGCCAAGACTTAGATAAATAATATCAAACAAATTCTCAAGTAGAAATATTTCTACTATCAAGCAAGATCAGTTCTTTCTAAAGTTCTTTCTTGAAAAACTAAACAAGAGATTACTAGTATAAACACTGCGTGATAAAGACCTGTCTTAAAGTGTCCTAGAAATTAGTTATTCTTATTTTGATGATCGTAATCCAAAATCTCAAGAAACACATAAATTAACAGACTGGTCGCAAGTTACATAACACCCATATCAGTATCCTACCAATTAGACTAACCTTGCTCATTGCTGAGCAGATAATATTTTTCCTGTTTCTAGACAACCAGACAGTGGAAGATATCACAAATATAGAAAGTCTTTATCAGTTGCCTCTTAGATGTTTCTTACTGCCTTATGAAAAGATACAAATATTTGTTCATAATGTGTCAACAATTTATGTATCCTTTGTCTAGGTTATTTGCTGATAGTTTGCAAGACCACTTTGCAGAATATGGCCTTCCAGTGATCTAGAGTTCAACCCCAAAATTATCCTTTCGTACTTTCATATACGCAAGGAAACAGTGAAAGAAAATAACTTGGCTGCTCTTTTCTTTTTGTCGATTCTCTCAGCAGCTTACTGGAACTTAGTTACTAGAAGGTCTCGTAAAGAACTTTTTGACCTGAGCAGCTCTTTGAGACATGAAAAAAAAAATTCAAGTTCCTTGCGAAATGAATCACACTATGTTTTCAAAATTCATAATAAGCAGAAATTTCTTTCTGGAAAAGTAAATGAATTCTGCACTAATTGCTGCTAGCTTTAGATATGATACATGTGAACTCTTTCAAAGCAGGCCACTAAACTTACAAGAACTTTCAATGCGGAAGGGCAAGGAGACCTATCTAATGTTAGAATAGAGAACTTTGTTATGTCTTTATGTTTTACGAATTTGCAGTCGTGATATAAATAGATAGTGCAGGGAGACTTAACTATTATCTAATATCTAGTATAAATTGGCAATTGATATAAAAGGACACTTTATCTGATCTGAAATCAATTCTTAATATTGATGATTATCAAATCATGGTTTTGTCCATCATGTGAAGGCAAAACCAGTGAATTAAATTAATAGATTCACAAATATTCTCAGTTTAAATCATTAACAGAAACATAGTTTCTAAACAAAGTATCTCAAGATAACCTAATCCCATGTTTCTGATGGCCTTGAGTTTGACAATAAAGAAATTTCCCATGCAATATGAGCTAGATATGTGCAAAAAGTATCATATGAGCACTCAAAACTTAGGATAAGTGTAATGTATGCAAGGATTTTGTACCTCAACTTCCACACCATATGCTGTCTGCACAGAGACACGTGGCCCCCCAACCTCATATTCAAGAAGTTTCCCAGACGCTGCTCCAGATGCAACAGTGGCAAGCCTATAAGTTAGACATTTACAAGTAGGTTTCAGCTCACTTTCTAATTACTTTCTGTTCTTCCGTGGGAATCCACCTCCAGATATTGATAGTTAATGATTATACCTGCAAGGGACCATGATCTCTCCTTGACAAGCAACAATACTATGACCATCATTTGATTCAATGATTTTTTCCACCTTTGAGTTAAGATATGTCACTCCAGACTCCTGGCATCTGGAGAAAATTTCCTATGTATCAGTATAAAAAAGAAGAAAATTTCTTAGTACTGTAAACTTTGAAATAAGTTTTCACTTATACCTTCTTAAAAGCTCCGCGTGCAACAAATGCCGGCTAACTCTACCATACGCTCGACCAATTAGAATTGGGTCATTGCTATCGAGATATACGATTGTATCTTGCCAGACATGCTCTATGCAACCTTCTAGCCCTAGATCTAAAAAGAAAATATTCTCCCATGAGACTGCAGGTAAAGAACATAAAAACTTCTAAACATAAGTATAAAGATACATTCTAAAACAACTATATCTTGTGGGGGGCATGGGGTAAGCAGTTGCACGATGAGAATTTATACAACAAAACTATTCATAGCGCTGTTATTCCTCCAATCATTCTAACAACAGGTTCTGTCAAGGCATGCTGATGATTAAAAAGTTAGTAAAAGAAATAAGACCACAATAAGGACATATATACCAAGTTAATAAGGACCATGAAGCCTCATGAACCATAAACTATGAAAAAGGTCAACGCATTTTAACTTTATAATGTAAACTGATGTTTAACAAAGTTCACAGGAAGTTAAATTTCTTGTTCTTGCACATGTTGAGCTAGAGTATGACTTCAAAATGGTCATAGTTTTCTGATTTCCAGTTTGGTTAGTGGATGCACGAAAGGCAATCATGCGCAAGTAGTTTAACTGAAAGTCTAAGGCATGTTTTAAATATCGGATATTGGAAAAATATCGGATGGCCAAAATTCATATCGCATTGTGGATATCAGAGAAATATCGAGGATACGTGGTAAATATCGGAATGCCATAACTGATGTTTGCATATATGGTATAATGCACTAAAATGTAATCTCGACATATGTAATGAAATCGAAACATATAAAATGTGAATAATAATCAACCTTGTAAAATAAACAAAAGTACAAATCAACTTTGCAACATTTGGTCTGATTTTTTTAGGGTAAAATGTCATTTGATATAATGAGGAAATCATGATATCTTGCTCAAAAATTGCTAAACACTGTATAATATTTTGTGAAAAGCCATATAAAAAAAATATATCGGTCCACATATTGGCTGATATATTGGCCACATCGAGGGATATATCACCCAAAATAGCTAAAAAGTAGCAAAGATATTTAGAGACCATATCGGTTGCGGCAAGCCCTATAAAAGGATATATCGGGGGATATATATTAGGCCATGTCAGGGACATTTAAAACAATGAAGGTATTATAATCTTATATAATACTTTAAACCAGTGGCTACTTCCTGCCAATAGGCAACCTCTTACAATGATTAAACCAAAATCACCGCAGTTGATGAGATATTACATCACCTAAAGAAATTGGGATTAGAGCTCCCTACCAAGAGTGATAAAAAACTTTCAATATTTTAAATAATTCCTTTTTATATATTTTCTTTTTGTTATGTTTAAGGTATGAGACACCTACATACTGACAAGGAATATAATAACAAAAAGATCACTTTCGGAATATTTACCAGAAAAACTTGGAAATTATGATATTCTAGTTTCTAGCGATCAGTCAAATATAAGTGTAGTAAATCCGTAGTGACTCTGTAGCATGATGAATAGTTACCTTTAAATTCATCCTCCCAAACACCATAATTATTAGTAAATGGAAGATCAGGTCCAATAAGACCGACGTTCAATCCTTTCTTTGCCGATTCTGCAGCAAGAGAAAGACCAGCTGGACCACAGCCAATCACCACCAGATCCAAGACAGCACCGAAAGGTATGGGTGGCAGCTGCAAGAAAGATAATGTTCAGCATTACGATTACAAGACACATTTCTCACTAGATAACTATATAGATGCAATATTCTTCGAGCAAAGTATAAGCTGGGTGTCCAACTGCCAAAATCCTAACTCCTAAAAGACAAAACAACATAAACATCAGACATTATGGATGTACTACTACTACTACCAAGGACCTTTTTTTTTCTTTTCTTTTCTTTTCTTTTCTTTTCTATGCGCGCAATAACTTTACTTTATGCTCCATTTTTTTTCATGCTATGAACTTTTGTTATCCAAAAACTTCCGTAAGGGATAAGGAATTGATAATAGATTAAGACCATTCTAGACCCTTAACCAATCATACGTTAGATCCCAATTTTAAAACAAGTGTTACAAGCACAAATTATGTAATCATAGCTCCATTGAATTTCTAATGGCTTGGGTTATCTTTTATAAGGTATAAACATGACAGGTTTTCCCTTAAACTCTGTTGAGAGAGTTGTTTATTCCATGTTGTTCAGTCCCACATTAGTTAGGGACAAACTCCTTTCTTTCTCCAAACACTATAAATAACATTCAAGAGAGAGCCAATGATCTCTCTAGGGTTTTCACATTAACATGGTATCAGAGCCACCCTTTCTCCTCTCTTCAATTTTCCTAGACCTAGCCATCACCCCTATCAAACCCTAGCTGTCACCCTCTCAAACCCTAGCCGCCACCTTCTACCCCTCTCAAACCCTAGCCACCACCCTCCCAAACCTTAGCCGCCACCTACCAACATCAAATTCTAACCCTTCGTCCTCAGCCACCACTTCCAACCGCATTCTGTTTTGAGGTATTGTTCATCCATCCTTGGGGTACTGTTCATCAGCCCCGATCAGATCCAACCTGCACCTCTTCTCCTATGTTGACTTTGACCTCTCTGTTTAATAACACCAACTTTCCTAGTTCATTAGCCCTCGACTTTGGTGCAAAAAATCTTTTTCGGATCTGTACACCTTAGATCCGAAATAGTAAAAAAATAATAAACAAAAAGGGTGTTAAGCTAATCATTTGGCTTAATCAACTAGATCTTCATAGATCTGCAACCAATCATTTCGCTTATGAACTAAATCTTCATAGATCTTTAACTAATCATTTAGCTTAACCAATTAGATCTTCCTATATATTAAGCTAATCATTTAGCTTCATCGTACGGTCAGTCGTAAATAGTCTCTTTGAGATAAGTGATAAGTCATTCTCTCGAAGAAACCAACTTTGCTTAGTTGTGGCGATTACTTGTTGTGGATTGATTACTTGGTGTGATTACTTGTTGATGATTTATTTGTTGAAAATTAAATTTGTTGTTGAGTGAGGTTGATAGTTATTTACCGAGAGATTACTAGCTAAAGGATCTTATTTGCTGTATTAATGGTAACTTCTAGTATTCTGCTATTTCGGTGGACGACAAAGTTAAGATGAAGACCCACACATTGGTGCTCTCTAGCAGGATCACTGACCAGAAATTGAATGGGTCTAATTACTAAGTTTGAAAGTAACTGATTCGAGTTTATATATCAGGTCGGGGAAAGGATCATCATCTTACAAATGACCCCCTATCCCAGTTACTGTCTGTTGGAAATAAGATGACACTAGTTTACTTCATCAAATTTGGAAAAGCATGGAACTACAGGTCCTTCAGTTAGCAATTCACTATAATATAGTGAAACAGGTGTGAAAGTTCTTGGAGCAATTGTACTTAGGCCTCGGATACGCCAATCGGGCGTATGATGTCATTCAAGAGTTATTTCGGAGCAAGATGGACAAGCATTGTCTGACATTTGAGGGGCATTGTCGCAACTTCAATCGCCTCGCAGAGGAGCTAAGATAGATTTCCCCATTATGGGGATATTCAGAAGATGCAAGACAAGTGGAATCAACTGATGGAATTCACCTTTCTTGGTTCTCTTCCACAGTCTTGTAATTCAGCACGACCACAGGTTATTAAGACCTCTGCTATACATTCCTTAGCAAAGACATATTACTTCCTAAGTTCAACAGTGCAGACAACTCCCATAAGTACCACAGCAGAGTCTACTGACAGGTCTACTCTCGCCACATAGAGTAGACAGTCAACCAGTCGAGAGGGTAGTCATGATGGAGGCCGCTTTGGTGGATGTAGGGAACGCTTTGGAGTAAAGTATTAAATTATATGTTAATATTTTTTTCCTACACTATATTTTTCAGGTAATTAGGACAAGGTAGATGATTGCCACTGGACGTGAGCGGAACGACTTGTATGAGCTGGACTTTTTCCCAGCCTGGGAGGTCTATTTTAACTCTACATCAATCTTTAATGAACATTGTTGGTTTGGTCATCCCCCTCTGTCAATTCTTAAAATTTTGATTTCAGATTTGAATCATGTCTAATCTTTAGAGTGTAAGTCGTGTCAACTTGGAAACCATCAATGGATATCTTACCCCAGTCGCATCAATAAGAGGGTTAGTAACCCATTTAATTTAGTGTATTTAGAAGTATGGGATTCTTGTTCTATTCCATCCCAACTCGGTTTCTAATATTTTGTTAGTTTTGTAGACGATTTTTCACACATGACTTGGATCAACTTGCTGAAAAGTCGTTCTGAAGTGTTCTCTATTTTTAGAGTTTTCTATGCTGAGATTAAAAATCAATTTCATAATACCATTAAAACTTTAAGAACAAATAATGCTAAGGAATATTTGATCGCTTCTTCACAAAATATTTGGAAGACAATGGAATTTTACATTGGCCATCTTGTACTTACACACTCCAACAAAATGGGATGGCTACAACTCTGATCTCTCTTTTACTAAAGAAACTTTTTATTTACCTCTTAAAATTTTTGGGTCTCTATGCTTTATTCACAATCATCGTCTGCAACGAACGAAATTAGATTCAAAATCTCTTAGGGGGATTTTTCTTAGATATTTTAGGACTGGGTACAGATGTTATTTCCCCTCCTTGAATCGGTATATTATTTTAGCCGATGTTACCTTCTTTGAGAACAAACCAGGACATGTTGTCTTTGATAAATACTTAGACCCTCCCGATGATAATGACTACCTTATTATTTGGGAAACCACAGTCAATGTTTCTTCTAAAGCTACTGTATAACCTGATTTACCATCCAAGTTTGCAGAGCTTGTTCAAGTTTATACAAGATGTACTGCTCCGCAGCCTGAGCCATCGTCCAAATCCACTTAAGAGCCTGATATACTAGTAACTCAAAATATGCTCATACAACCAAGTGCTTGATATACTAGTAACTCAAAATATGCCCGTACAACTAAGTGATCAGCCTACTAATAATCTTCCCATTGCCCTCTGAAAGGGTAAGAAATCATGTTCTTGAAATTCTTGGTATCGTCCCACACACTATGTCTCTTACTCTTTGTTATCTCTATTATATTATTCTTTCGTATCTTCTCTGGATTCTCACTCGGTTCCCAAAAAATTGTTAGAAACTCCATCTAACACAGGTTGGATAGCGGCAATGAAAGGAGAGATGACGACCTTTGAGCGAAATGAGATTTGTGATCTTGTTTCACTACCACCAAGAAAGAATGTGATCGGCTGCAAATGGTTTTATACTATAAAAGTAAATCCAAATGGCTCTCTAGCTTGCCTCAAAGCTCAACTAATTGCGAAGGGATATTTACAGATTTATGGTCTTGATTATATCGATATCTTCTCTTCTGTAGCTAAGACGACATGTATCTCATTCTTATTTCGTCTATTGCTCGCTATCGCTGGCAGCTACATTAGTTAGATGTTAAGAATGTAATCCTTAATAGTATTCTTGATGAGGAGGTTTATATGAAGCAACCATCAAGTTTTGTTGCTCAGGGGGAGTGTGGCAAGGTTTGTAATTAAAAAAAACCCTCTATAGGTTGAAGCAATCTCCGAGGGCTTAGTTCGGACATTTTGCAGCAGTTGTCCACCTTTGGTCTTCATTGAGCTCAAGAAAACCACTTGATTTTTGAGAGATTTCATGGTGGGAAGCGGATCCTTTTGATTGTATATGTTGACGAGATTGTGATCACCAACGGCGATGCATATGGCACTAGTCATTTGAAGAAGTATCTACAACAACAATTTCAAACCAAGGATCTGTTGTGCGCAGCGGAAATTTCGGCAGAGTTTCTGATGCACAATAAGAGAGAAAGATCGATAAGAATTCTTGTTTCTCAAAGGGAACAAGAATCTGAAGCCTAATATCTCATCAAAGTGGAATATTAGCTCTTTCTCTCGTCAGCTCTAGGACTGCGCGTCGAGGGATCCTAAAAACTATTACAATGGCCACAAACTCAAACAAACTAATTTTACGTGGTTCGGCAAACTACCTACGTCCACGGGGCAAGGAGGGAGAGATCTACTATTAGAGGGAGAGAACACAACTAGGATTTATAATTACTCAATCTAAACCCTCTCATAAACTCTCAGATCCCTCACACAAATACTCTCTCAAATAGATACACAAATCAAAGAACAGTTGCAAAAGGACTTTGCTTTTTCTCTGTGAATAGCCGCCAAACACCTCTGTACGCTGCCCTGCTTTTCACCTGCACCCAGCCCCTCTTTGCTCTCAGCCGTCTTTTTCTTTTGCTCTGTACCTTTTCCTCTTTCCTTCGCACCCCTAGGTTATTGCACAAAGAGATATATATATAGCTGCACTATTTCGGGTGGGCCTGGCCTCTTTTGTCCGCTGGACTCATGATCTTCACGCGGTTTCTTCTCTTTTTTTTTCAACTTTGTGGCCCTCATACCCCATGCTGATCTCTTCACATAGGTGATCTCTTCACACGTTTTGTGGCCCCCACGAGTCACATCTTCATCAATTCTCCACCTCGACGAAGTTTTCTCAAAATTGAGTCGACACCAACCAAACCAAATGTCTTACTTGTTTTGTCCAGTACACCGTGAAACAATTCACGACAAGAGACTCAATCCATAACAAGTCGAGAACCCAAATGAGAATGCAAACACTCTCCAA